GCTCCTATGGTAAGCCCTAGCTGACAAAGATAAATGGCTCTGGATATAAAAAGCTGACTAACAGAAGTATGCAAATCGAACGATCCAACAAGTGTTGCCACGCGCTGTTTACAAAGAATCTTTGTTGACATTGTGAGTTTTGAGGAAGCAAAATAACCAAGTTTCAGTGTAATGGGTGGTTGGTTCATTCACTCGCTCCCCTCAACCCTTTGTTGCTCACATAGGAGTAATGAAAAACACACTGTGCATGGTAGTAAGCATTGTACCCTCTCTCCCAGCGTAAGTCATGATGTAGAGAAGGACAGGGCTCCATCCACGACCAGACTGGGGTGGTGGTCACTGACTTTTACCAGGTGTCATGCATACGCAGAGACCTCACATAACACCCTCCATATACATTTGTCTTTGTTCTGGCACTACAGTAGGCTTTACTTTGTGTTTTTGAAGTGTTGGGATTACTAGGAACATTGTGTTCGACCACTGTCTGCTGTCAAGTTCAGTCTGTACCCACATGGTATGTCTGCAACAGAGGTGGGTCATGAATCGTCATGAGGAGTGAGGGTGTGGTCTCACATGGACTGGAGGGTAGGAAGAGCTACTCTGTCCCAGCGTATGTCCGGGCTGAAAACTAGTGGAGAGAGCTGATTCAGCCCCAGTTTCAGTGGTGTGCCAAGAACAGCTGGAGAAGACGACGAAGAGATAAAATAAAGCTGTGCTACAAGAGGCTCACCACTGACTACTGAGGTAGATACTGAGAACTCAGACTTCTCATAGTCATTGCTGCATGGCAGAAGTAGCTCCGCCATCTTCTCGTGCACGTAAAACATAACGAAGAGGAGTGTCCCATTACCACCAATGTCTGTATGAGGATGATTAGTGTACTGTATCGTGAATGCACTTCACAGACACAGGAGGTGTGTTTTCTCTCGTCCATCTCGGCTTTTGTGAAGTTTTTCTCTGTCCTACAACACTGATGTTGTTACTACTTGGCACCGCGATATAGAGCTGAGTCCTCCACCCTCTCTCCTCTCGTCCCACCTTCCACCACTGTGCAACTGTGGGCTCGGTAGGAGAAAGCAAGCACCGTAGTCTCACGCCCCTCCTCTCTCGCTAGTCGTGGGTCAGCTCTGGAGTGTACCCTGGACCATGATCTCCAGTGGGAGGGTCGGCAGAGTGCAATAGCGAGGTCAATGAGTAATATACCTCTTCATTGTTCATGGATCCTTCTCTTTTGTTTGTATACAATTGAAGTGATTATATCCATGTATTTGATTCTTGTACTGCCACATTCCGCAGACAATGTCTCAGAACCAACAAAAAGTGTCTCAGTCAGAAGATGCGCTGCCATTAGTGACGCATATAATAATCATTCCACAATCGTGCTCGAGCTAATGATTACATCCGGCCATGCTCTCGGTCTAGCTATTAGTCAGTTGAATGAAAGCTCTGCATGATCAACGTCAAGACTGACTGCTTCATCATTTGTATGTTGTCTGTAACCCACCGCTGTGTTGGCGGAGATGATGCTAAAAATTTTTCAGGACATTCAGCCCACACAAGGTAGTCGCTGTTGGTCATCAGAAGAGCCAGAACTCTAGCATTATAGTCCATGCGTGACTTACAGTACATCATCAGCAGAATGTCAAATCCGCCTCTGCGGTCCATAGTTGTTGCTTGAGTGTTTGCATGGTGCTAGACTCCGAGAGTCAGTTTGATCACTCTGCTATTGTGTCAGAACCTGCCACTACCGTGAGAGGGACCTCTCCCCTGCCTACCACCTGCAGATGGTAATACGTTTGCAACATCTGTCTTCTTCACTAAAGATACCCTGTGCACATCTCCATTCCCGGTCTGTGATAGGGGGCTGATTCCCATTTTCCTCCCGTACCTCCATTCCAGTGTGTAGTCCACGTGTATGTTGCGGTATGGGAAGCCATCCATGTCCAGGTGAGCGTTACATGGAGCCGTTGATCACTCTTCCCCTGGCTCCACCTCGCAGTGACAGGAACACCCGAGCATCTCTGCACATACATAGCTGTATATATGAGATGGATGACCACCGACGTGTGCCGGTGAGAAGGTATATTCACAGAGTAGGGAAGAAATTATTAATGTCTGCAACACGACCAGTGCAGCTGTGTGAGGTATATTCATCCACTGCTCCAGTGAGCCTACACATTCATGGTAATAGGTGTCGTCACTATGGTCAACTGTGAACCTATAGCATGAACTGCCCTCTGACCGTAGCTCCTCCCTTCAGCACATGAGAACTCCTCGCGTACCCCAAGCCTCCTCACCTATACTCCCAATTCCTACCTGCTGGCCGCCCCTCTATGACACATGTCACACACAGCCTCTAATAACACTGTGGCCGCCAGTTAGCATTGCTGCATTCCAGACACTCAGAATATACGGCTGCCTCCATTAGCTTCAGCTATAGCTAATGAAAGCTTGTGACACAGTCTGTCATTCCGACGGCTGACAGAGCGATGTCGCACCATGTCAGAGGCTGTATACTCGTACACGCTCTTCCATTCAATACTTCTGTTTAGAGCCTCCTAGTGCAGCTACCATGGGCACTATAGACATGAGCAAACACAGTGGTGTATTGTGGACAGGAATGTGGGTGAGGTCTCCCAGTAACATTTCCGAGGCCACCAAGAATGCATCTCTAATCCCTCTCATGCCAATAAATAAACAAATAAAGTTTCCTGCAGTGCTACAGATAGGGAGTACAGCGATCACTTAATTGTTGGGTCCACACCATAACAGAGCCAATATGTGTACAGAGAAGGCAAGTGCAAAGAGGTGCTAGATTACTGACTCACAGATACAGTGACTGTTGCTCCAGCTCTGGCCTCCCCTCCCTCATTTGACCACACAAACATACATCCCTGCATTGCTCGGCAAGCTTCATCAAAGATCAGGTTGTTCCCCATCACATTCCATTGCTCAACAAAGGCCATTCCTTTTCCCACTGAATGGAGACTGCACCACTTCCCTCTGCAACATGTCATATTGAATGCATCTCCTCGAAGAACGTTTCGGTCCATTGGTGGAACTGTTATTGTCGAGCTGAGTATAAAGAGATAGAGGGAAGTGGGTTAATTTTCTGAACGCTGAGGCATTATATGATTAGGTTCATGATGTTCATAAAAGAAGGTCAGGGAAAGGTGCCAAGAATTACGCAAGGTAAGAGCATTTCTGTCATTCCAAACAGCCGCAGACCTGCAAAGGAAGGGCCAGTTCTCTGGCTGCACATGGGCTGAGACAGACCAGCCGACCATGACAGAGATCGCAAGGATCCTCTGTCTGTGTACGAGGCTGGAGGGATGCCCGCACAGCTGCAAGGCTGAGCTAGTTTATTCCCTAGTGAGCAAGCTTAGTTCACAGACAGTCACCCACAACGAGATTCCACTGCAGCTCTGAATACCCCTCCCGCTAACACAGCAGCAAGTTAGCAGGTGTGAATAAAACACTGCACTATGTGCAATCGAACGCTCATTATGATCCACTCACACAAGTCACGCACTGCTGTTGTTGTTAATCATCATGCTAGGTGTGCTGCATGCCACGTGGAGGGGGAGCCGACCGGTACTAGTGTCCTCCTCCACCAATGAAGTGGCTGTAATGAAATTGCACCAGATGCTCTGCGCTAGCTCTGGATCCCGTGTAACACAACCTCTTGAAATCCAATTCTATGCAGCCTCATGAAGCTATGTAAACACACACTGTAGGGTGCAAAAACACTTACTCCTATCACCCTACAACCTTCCAAAGGCCGAATATGCCTTTGGAAGGGAGCAAGACAATCTACAAATAAAAGTACTCTCTGGGCTTCACTTGCCAGCTCAGAGTTCCTAGCTGCACTCCTGCAGCGACTGCAGCGTGCAGGGAGGAGCCAGACATTAGCTCAGCTCAGCTCGCGATCTTACTGCGGTTTAGATAAACATCTCAGCTGTTGCCATAATACTACAAAAACACTCGGACGGTGCGCAGTGGACGGATGCTTTTTCTCTGCAACCTCACAACCTTTGGTGTTCTCGAGCCGGGCTCTGCACACCACGCATTTAACACGCAGCTATTGCTGCACCCGCTCTCCTCCAGACCTCACCTTCTTGACCGGAGACCAGTGAGGAGCGGAAGAAGAATAGGAATAGCATCAGTTCCGGCTTCGTTCCCAGTTGTTTTCTCCGTCTCCACAGCTCCTGGCGGCTGCTGCTGCGATCCATGGATATACCGTGGGAGATCGCCGCGTCTTCTTCTGTCCCCAGCTTCCGTGAATCTATGTCTAATGCAATACTCTCCTGTCTATAGATCACCAAGAACTCATGATCCCCTTTTGTAGTAGAAGTATGCGGAAACAAATCATTGCATACTTGCTCCGTTTACATGAAAAGTGATATTATGCAGGCAGTGTATAAAGGATGATGAATAATGAGTCTGAAGAACTGTAGCAGTAGCTGATATAATGTGATGAGAGTTTACATGTGGCCCCGCCCCCTCCCAGCAAGTTTCAGTTGCCCCGCCTTTTCTCCTGTCAGATGAACACCTGCAGACAGACAGAATGACAGAATGATACTCAGAGAGAGAGGTGGTGGTGGTGGCATACCGAGAGCTCTCTCCAGTTTGGATATGATATGAGTATTTGGCAGAGCACGACCTGACTCATAGTCCACCACCACCACCGCCTTCTCATTGACCTTCTGAAGAGCCATCAGGAAGAGAGATAGCGGCAAAGTGTGGCGAAATTGAATTGCTCACGGCTGCAAGGTCTTTCTGAGACATTTTCCTCTGAGTCCTAGTCTGTTGTATCAGTCTCCCCAACTCCAGTCCCACATGTACATCTGATGATGTAACCATTACATCATCATCATCATCACCATTAGCATGGAATGATTCACTCACGATCCAGTCTCTCAGTCTCTCCAGCCAGTTCACTCTGATCCACATTGGGAACATGCTGTCTATTCAGATGACTTCCTGTATAAAAGATAACACACCAGCTAGTATGATAAAGAACACATCCACCTTTCTTCCATATTGACTGGGGCCTCGACTATAGCACCTTCATCTACCGCCTGTGTGTTGAATAAAAGGTCATAGTTCAAAGCCAACACCACGTGGGTGGACGAAGAGAACGACTCACAGTCACTGGAGGCGGCTCCAAGAGGTGAGCCTTGTTCTTTGCAATGTAGTTCAGGACCTCCTGAGCGGCGTTTGATTTGCTGCTCTTTTTGGTGCGGCCTCTGCCGTGGAAGGTGACGGGCTCTCCCTCCAGCGTTAGGCTGACCTCCGCACCGAACTCGCTGAACGTTCCCTGCGCCTCGCGGTACACCGGCAGAGGAAGCTTCCACTGCTGACAGATCTCCTGCAGCCGACTGATCGGGTTCTTCTGGAGAGCCGCGCCGCCACTTTCCGCCATGATGACGACACGTTTGCCGCTGTTGTTTGCATAGTCAGCTGTGACGTCACGGAGGGTTTATAAAAGTGGACACCAGTCACTTTTTTTAGCAGGTAAAGTCAAATGCAATGGATTTACAGTTAACATGTGTGTGTTTTACCTTTTTTTGGCTGAAGTCAGTGGTGGAGGTCCACTCTGAGACCGTTCCTTATGTCTCCTTCATGGGCCAGACTCTGGCCAACCATTCCTATGTGGACATCAGTCAAGTGGGGAGACCTGATATCGGTGGTGGTGAAGGTGTTCAGTGTATCACTGACCTGGCCACATGTTGTACTAGTACTGGTGGTCCTCATCTTGGAGACTGGTATTTCCCTGATGGAAGTAGACTGCAATTCGCTGGAGATGGTGGTGATACCTTTGAGTTTCGCACAGATAAGAGAGTTGACTTACGTCGTAACACTAATGCTAACTCACCAACTGGTATCTATCGCTGTGATATTCCAACTGGTGCTGTCCATGATGATGATGACATCTCAGTGAGAGACACAGTCTATGTGGGACTGTATACTGCCAATGGAGGTATTTGTAGTACAATTTAGTATATTATTATGTGTAAGAAATTTTTTTGAAGGAACACTCACGATTTCTTCAATTGAAACTGACCAGCTGACCCTCACCTGTATCTCCACCGGTGGACCTGCTACCACTGTCACTTGGACCAGGGGCTTTACCAATATCACTGAAGGAGATGTAACTACAATGTTAAGTGAGGTGGCAACTGCAATGTACATTCATACTCTGACCCTGACTGAGAGACATGGGGGGGTGTACACATGCTCAGTGTCTAATGGGAAGCCATCTACTGCATCAGCTGACATCACTTTAGTAGGTATGTTCTCAATGCTCTGAGGATACTTGATCATATTGGTTGTTTTGTAGTTGAAGGTCAACCCAACATTACAATGCTGCATGAATTAGCCACCTCCATCTCCATCTCCTGGACCAGTGCTGGCTCAGAGGGAGTCATGTATGTGGTGGAGTGGCAGAGAAATACCTCAGTAGGCTGTACTGATGTGGACACAAACAGTACCACTATCACTGGAGGTTCCATGACTAGCTACACCATCAATGGACTAGAGGAAGACAGTAGGTATGTAATCACTGTGACAGCCTCCAATACATCTGGTGATACAGTCAGTAACACAGTGACTGCAATGACTGGGGAGGCAGGTGAGAGACTATCTACCACTGCTAGTGGTCTATTGTATGGTCCTCTCTCCCACAGCTCCATCTGCCCCTCCGTCTGATGTGGAGGTAACTGATGTGAATTCCTCCTCCATCACTGTCCAGTGGGGGAGTGTACCATGTATCCATCAGAATGGAGCCATCACAGGCTACTCAGTCCAGTATGGAGTGATGGGGAGTGGGAGCACACAGATGTTGACTGTTAATGGAGCTGATGTGACTCAGACGACTATTGAAGACCCTCATGTCATCCACTACTTACTCTATTGAAGTGGCAGCAGTCAACAGTGCTGGTACTGGAGAGTACAGTGATCCCAGAAATCAACTGACACGAGGTCTGAATTACCACATTTCATAATCTCGTCATCATGAATATCATGTCACCAGTTGAGGCTCCAGTTGTGACGGTAGTTGAGTCTTCAGTGACAGCTACCAGTATACCCAGTAACCTGGAGCAGTGGTGGCTCAGAGGGAGTCAGTTATGTGGTGGAGTGGGAATATGGTGGAGGGTGTCCTGGTATCAGTGGAGGCAGTCAGACATTGGTGTTGGTGGGGGCAGAGAGTACACTATAGAGGGTCTGGAGGAATACATCACATACTCCATTACTGTCAGAGCTAGCAATTCTCTGGGTAGTTCTGAGAGTACTCCAGTTGATGGAAGAACTAGTGAAGCAAGTAAGTTAATCCACATGGTGTCAGTACAATTCTTGTAGTTGCTACCGCACTCGCAGCCTCTGAG